GATCAATAAAAATATTAGGGGAAAAAAAAGGAATCATGAATGTTCTTACATTTACTTGAAAACCACTTTAACTTGTTTATTTATGTCTTTATTTGCAGAAATGTCTGTGAGCAATGAACGTTGTCTCCTGGACTTCCCCACTGTCCCAGAAAGACCACTGGATGTTGTCTATCTGGCAGCAGGATCATTCCTGCCACTTTTAAAAATGCAGGTTTCAAGGCTTTGCTTCCGACTACCAACTATGAGTCCCCAGACTCTGAGGTACTCGTGGAAACTGGTGCTTGGTCCTGCTGTGGAAGCTCGGATCCAAACAAATGTTGGTCACGACTAGATCTGATTTATACTCTAATGAATCTCATCTCTTTTTCTGTTCTCACTTATCTTTCTAGCTGCCTATGTTGTGCCCGACTTGCCTACCTGTCATCTGTACTGAGATGGGTAATAGGCATCTGAAACTTAGCATGGTCCTAGCGGAATTTCATCCCTATAACACACCTTCTCTTCCTCAGATTTCTCCCATTTGGATAAATGTGTGACAATCTATACAAGTTGCTTAAGCCCCCTCCTCGCCCCCCAAATGTTTCAAACAAGAAGAATGAAACAACAAAAATCTTTGAGCAATCACGAATTATGCTTTTTCTTTTAATCCTCCAACATTTAATCCATCAATAAACTCTCCTGTAATATATTCCAAGCGTGTCTCCTCCTCTTTACCTGTATTGCCACCATGTAGTCCAAACCATTGTCGTTTGTCCCTCTTACATTATAGCAAAACTTCTAAAGTGGTCTCCCTGTTTCTACCCTGACTAAATTGTCTGCAGACATCAGCCATGAGATCTTTCAGAACCTCCAGTGGATCATGTCATTCCCATCCAAAAGGTTCCATTGCAGCCAGAATAAACACCAGATTCCAAGGCTGCATGTGATTTGGTCCCTGTCTCTGTATCCTCACATCTTTAAGACTCCACCTCTCACTCTGGTTCAGCCTGGCTGCCACGGGCCTTCTTTCTGATCTCCTTACATGCCAGGGCCTCAGTGGGGCCACTTTCACTTGTGTTTTCTTTTGCTTGAAATGCTCCACTTGTGGTTTCATGAAGTTCTTTCTCCTGCTCAAGTCTCCACTCAAATGGCACCTCCTCTCAGAGGTCTTTCTGAATCTTCCCATCCCACTGAGCCACCCACCCAGGTCATTCTGCACCACATGGCTTTCTTGTCAGCTCACAAACATCTTAAGAGGAAAAATAAAAAAACAATAATCCTCCCTTCACCATGTGCAGACTTCCAATCCTGTCCTTTTTCTTTTCTTTTAATACCAAGATGCTAACAGGAAGGAGCCCTACTCACACCCTGCTGATTTCGGAAGCCACTTTAGTTTGGCCCGTGGCTAATATATGATCCAATTAATATCAACGAATACGGAACTGACGTACTCACTGACTTGTTTCCAGTCCTCATCGTACTTCATGTATTTACAGCATCTGACACCCTCACCTGAATTTTCCTTTACTTCCCAATAGTGAGTTAGGGAGAAATCCTCTAATGCCTAAAGCAGCCTCCAAAAACAACAATGTTGTGTTCTACATAACTTTTCAGTGTCCTTCACTCATTTGTCTAGGCTGAACATAAATTTATAGTTATGAGCCTTGAAGCTGGGTTTTACATATAAAAATAAATTCAGGGTTGCACATTTTAATATTCACTAAATTTTCCAGGAATTTAGCTACCATCAATAAATTGAGAGATGATTAACTTGTTTAGTTTGGACTTTCACTAAGAATTGTTCAATGTCTCAGAAAATTATATCTTCAATGACAACACGTCTTGTAGTATTTGTGTACTGTGTAATATGTAGCATGGCTATATCAGTATAAATATGCATATATGTGTAAATGTATACATATATACATTTGTAATTATCACAGTCACAGTGTTTCTAGGTGTGTATAAATGTTAAAATACATATATACATATCTACCTGTATATACACATATATATGTATAAAAGCACACACATATATATTCAACCCTTATGTTAAAATGCAAATATAAAGAAAATATTTAGCTTGATATTGAATTTATTGTTTAAATATGGACTTCATTATAACTAGGTACAGCACCTGGTAACTTTATTATACCATGTAATGTAGACATGCCTGAAGCATTTATATATTTGATTAGGTATTTGATTATGAATATTTCTTTTATTTCTTCTTTGTATTAAAGGTAGAAATAATATATTTGTGGAATTATGTCTTAAAAGTTTATTTCATTTAATAACAATAAAGGGGAAATTATAAAATAGTTATTATACTGTGTCTGATAGGGTTGGAACCAATACATTACAGTTACATGTCTCTACGGGGCTTCCCCTCTAACTAGCATGATCTTTCTACCTGGGAAACCTCCACTGGTAACCAGGAACTCCCCCGTCCATGCTCACGCGCCCCCTGGCACTATGAAGGCATGTATGAGATACGTAGTACATAGTCTATGAACTGCTGCTCTCCCATGCTGCACTGCAAGCTCCCAGATAGCGGGGTCCGTGTCTCACTCTGTTCTGCAAACCCAGCATCTAGCACACTGGGACATAGTAGGTTCTCAATAGGTGCTTACAGAATGAGTGAACCTACTTGAGGAGGGGGGTATCATGACTCTTTTTGAAAATGACAAGATGAATTAAATTCATTCTCATTAAAATTTGTAAAAAATTAACATGAAACTCTGCTTGGTAAAGCAGATAAGATTGAGCTACTCTTTTTATAGTGGAGATGAATGGCTCTGAGTCTTATCAGCCTGTCATGCTGTCAAACTCTGTGAGTCTGAGACGCTCAGACACCTCCCTGAAACTCCATTTAAAGAACATTCGACTAGATCTCTCATCAGGGTGACCTCTAGCTTAATGATTTTAGGATTGGTTATTTAATTTTGGGCCCAATATCTCAGCACTATATTTTTTCATATTCATATGATGAAAGTTCCAAAATTGCTATTTTTGAATATAAGATAAATTTTCTCTGGAAGCATTTCTTTCTCCACCCCCTTCCTTCCCTTCCTTTCTGCTTCCCTTCCTTTCCTCCCTCCCTCCCTCCCTTCCTTCCTTCCTTCCTTCCTTCCTTCCTTCCTTCCTTCCTTCCTTCCTTCCTTCCTTTCTTCCTTCCTTCCTTTTTTTCCCAAAAACATAAATGGATGCTGATTATATTTAATATTCTTATCATATAACATATTATATATACACTTTTGAACAACTTTTATTTTGAAATAGTACTTTCTACTTAAAAGCCTGATTACAGTTATATAATATAGTTTGTATATAAAGGTATCTTCTTTATCACTCCTGAAAAATCTACAAAGCAGTCTAGTCCATCACTGGTCTTGTTGTTAACCCTTCACAGCTAACACGGCCCGATATCTGATTCTCTTATGCCCCTGCCAGTCCCACCCCCCATTTGCTGTCCTTGATGCCAACAGACTTTCCCTGCCATGTACCCCAGGCTCCTGTGCTTTGCAACCCCATAACTGTCCTCAGGATAATCCCGTTCTGTCTCCTGTTTCTTCAGGATTTCTAGCTGCAACTAGCTAATCTAATAACGTTTGCAAAATGTCAGACAGTCAATAAATTCAATCATGCTCTGCATAACAACATTCCGGTCAACAAGAACCACATGCGTGATGGTGGTCCCATAATATTGTAATGGAGCTGAAAAATTTCTCTCACTTAGGGATGCGTAACCATAGTAACATCATAGTAGAATGCATTGCCCACGTGTTTGTTGTGATGCTGGTATAAACAAACTTACTGAACTGCCAGCTGTATAAAAGTACAGCACATACAATTACATATAGGACATAATACTTGATAATGATAATAAACAACTATGTTACTACTTTGTGTATTTACTATACAATGCGCTTAATCATTATTTTAAAGTGCATTTTAGTATTTATTTAAAAAATAGTTTGCTGTAGCCCTGGACAGTTTAGTTCAGTGGTTAGAGAGTTGGCCCTCGGACTGAGGGGTCATAGGTTTGATTCCTGGTCAAGGGCCTGGGAAAGGGCATGCAAGAGGCAACCAACCAATGTGTCTCTCTCACATCGATGTTTGTTTCTCTCTCTCCCTCCTTCCCTTCTATTCTATCTAAAAATCAATGGGAAAATATCCTTGGGTGAGGATTAACAACAATAAATAAAAGTAATTTGTTATCAAACAGTATGTCATGTTACCCTAGTGAGGGGCTAAGGCATTCTTGGGTAAAAAGGACACTGAATTTTTAAAATTCCACACTTTCAGGTTATCCTTCAAAACTTATTGCCTTGGAACTAACTTTTACGTCTTCTGTAAATCTTCCCATTATAGAATCTAGGAACCTTCATTTACAATAAAAATTAGTGGCCCTTAAATGGAGGAAACTTAAAGAGAACCTAACTTGTTTTGGATCAAAGAACGCTTTGAGAATCCGACTGAAGTTATAAACTCTGTATCCAGAAAATGCCCTTAAAGTTTCCAGCTTTGTAGGGTATCGGGAACACAGGAAGTATTTTTCAACTTAGATACTATGAAAGAGAGGTTTTAAACAAGGCATTTCAGAAGATGTCTCTTTCACGTAATTCGAACATAAAATAAGTTCCTGCTTTCTCCAACCACAATTCTGCATGAAGAAAGAGAGATCTTTATCTTTGACAGTTTCACACTCATGAATTAATATGTAGTAAATTTATACCCTGGGAAGGTGCTCTGTGCTATGAAACACTGTTTTAAAGTTTAATTTTTGGTTAAAAGATAAATAATCTTTAGTATTTCTTAGCAAAGATAGAAAGAATTATGAATTATTTGCAATGGCAAGATGGTTCCATTTCCTTTTATAGCATATTCAATTAAAAATGAATTTCATCTGTGAGATAGAGGAAGTTTGTAAAGCAACGAGTTTTCCTTTTTGCCATTAAAATAAATTCACTTTTATCATCGCAATCTTTTAGAAAATAAGGTTCTTAAGCAGCTCTTACCTCATCAGAGCCAGATCCAAAAATCAGCAAGTCGAAAGGAATCGCGGCCACCATGTCAATCAAGAACCAGCCTTTGAAGTAGTGTATTGCTATCTTGGCGGGATCACTTACCACCTCCTCATTCTGATTTACGTATGTTGTTCTGAAGTTTATTAGAATATCTATGATAAACATGATATCCACAATCAAGTCTACCACATTCAAAGGGCTACAAGAATAGCCACATTCCCGTCTTTTCTGTTCCTCTCTGTCGTTGAGGAGAAAGGCTGCAGAGTAGGGGGTGAAGATAGCAGTGTATATGACCAGCAGTAGGATGAGCCAGTCCCAGACGGCCTTGAACGGGCTGTAGTGCAATATTGTGAACTTGTTGATGCGTGGCGTCTGCAGTTTATATTCTGGCAGGACGTCTGCTCCTAAAGAGAGAACCTGAATAATGGAAAAGAAAAACATACACTATGTAAAAATGCCATTATTTCATCTTCAGTCCTATACAAATATTAAGGTAATTAATTATCCAGCAAAATCTATTAGAAAGGATTCGTGTAATTGAATTCATAAACTGCGAAGCATATAAAAAAAGCACATGCATTTGAAGAAGCCCATATAAACCCCACCTAGTATATTTGACTTCACAAAACCTCATTGGTGTTTTTGATAAAGATGATTTTCGTTGAAAAATAATGAGATGCCAAGTAATGGTTACTAGGTCCTTTGGAACATATGACTAGTCAGAAATAAAAATACATTGCTGTTTTTTAGAAAACCATGAACTCAGTTTGATACACGAGTATTCAGTTTTCAAACCTAAGGAAGAATTGGCTATAACGCATAGAAGCAGTCCACCTGGATCCATGATCATGAGTATAGTCTGGGACAAAGACACTCTCCCTGAAACCCTCCATCACATCCGGAAAGTCATAAAGAGAGGCTGGCACAAGGAGCTGTTCAGAGGAGTAGCCTGGAAATGTTGCAGGATTCTTAAGTACAAAGGAGTACTTAAACTTGGATTTATTCTGCTTAATAAGGCACTGAGTAGACTAAAATACTTCATCTTTTAGAGTCTTAGTACATCTGAAAAAAATGTGAGTTAAACTTGAATTGTGACCCTACCCAGTAAAAAAGTTCATGAGTCTGTGATTTTAAACCAACTTTCAAGAACAAAGGTCAAAACAAATAAGTGATCTAGCTACCCAGTCAATGTAATCAGCCTTAATGCATGGGCTTTCGAGAATTTAAAATGCTTATGGCTCCACAAAGAGAACATAGAGGCATTTTTAAAGTGACTGGTGGATTATAATTTTATATTATGAATATCCCACATATGTACAATGACCCTATTTCAAAGTGAATTTCACTAAGTAAATTTTCTTACACTAGACTCTTCTAAACACAGCTAATATATTTTGCAGCGTAGCTCTCAGGAAACCCCATTAATTAGTCAAAGAGTGTTAAACCAAGTTTCTGTGTTCTTGGTAATTCTGTCTATGTAGGTTTTAACTGAATTATAACAATAAACTCTCTCAAACAAATTTCAACTTGCAATTTTATTTTTACTGTCAAACTTCATACCTTTTCCCCCACACATATAACAAGCTACCATTCCTATTAAACACACACACACACACACACACACACAAACTTGAGAAGTTAAATAACAACCCCAAACGAAGTACAGCATGACTTTTAAATATAACAAAACAAGTTCAGTTAAAATAGGCAAAGCTCTTTTTAGATAATAGCTAAAGTAGTTTAACTAGCTTTGAAAAAAAAAAAAATCAAGAACCCAACCATTTCTTTTTCAGTCTAGAATAAATGTGTGACTGCCAGTATGTGGCGGAAACAGGGCTTTAATTTAAACTATTGTGAAAAGTGACAAATTAATTGTTACTAAAAGGGAAAGCTGTAAAATAAAGTGATGTCATTATTTATGAAACCCTAACAATCCTCAGAATCCAATTATCTATATCTATAGCTCCAGTGATACCTGACTTCCAAAAATCCCAATAGGAATAATGTTTAAATAATCTACCAATTGATAAGTGCAGACAAATAGAACTCTGATCCTGTTATAGTTAGTATAGAAAACCACTGTAAGATATTTTTGTCTGGAAAGAACAGATCATGTCTTATGGTATTATTATGTAATGCCACTTTCTAAAAAATCAGGGACTACTCAGAATGTAGAAAGTAAAATCCAAAACCTTATTTTGGCTCTCAAAGTCATCTAAAATATGGGCTCATTCTATCTTTTCAGGTCCTTCTCTCATTAGATTCCTCTATGCACACAGTGCACTCTGGCAAGACATGACTAAAATTTTTGGGCTGCTGAGATCTTCCCAAATCCCTATAGATTTCTTTCATAAAAAAGGGTATGTAACCTGGTCGGTGTGGCTTAGCGGATGAGAGGTCCCGGTTCGATTCCTGGTCAGGGCACATGCCCGGGTTGTGGCTAGATCCCCAGTGGGGGGCGTGCAGGAGGCAGCCGACTGATGTTTCTCTTTCACATAGATGCTTCTATCTCTCTCTTCCTCCCTCTCTCTCTAAGAATCAATAAAATCATATTTTTAAACAGGGTATGTAGTTATTCAAAGAGAACAACAACAACAAAAAATGTCGTTTTTCAAGACTGGGATATTTGTTGGAGCTTGCTCCCTGCCTAAGTGACCTGCTTCTGCTACCAACCTCCCACATGGGGCAAGCTACATACTTGTGTTAGCAGAAGTTAAACTGCATACATATAGCACCTTGGGGCTGCCCCTGAGGAGTAAAACCTGTGGATAGAACTCTTTCCATTGTGCATCTGCAAAAACTGGACAGGAAAGAAGATTACACAAGAGGTAACAGAATGAACAAAGACAGGGAGGCATGGAATACGCGTTGTGTGTTGAGGCATTATAAGTTGACAATGCTGATGGATAGAATGCAGGGACAATAGTGGGGAGGAGGACAGTGAATAGGAACAGCGACAGGCTGTGAAAGATCTAATGTGACGTGATAGGGATCTCAGACTGTCTCCTTTAGGTCAGGGTTTCTCACACTTAAATAAAATATAGACCTTTTTTAGGGCTAAGAATTATTGCAGAATCCCAATGATAATTTCAATATTTTAGTTTACAATGTTGAGTAAATATGTATAAAAATAAAATGAGGTTAAAACTTCTTCTGTTTAGACCTCTTAATGGGACTGCTGCAGATTGAATTGTGTACCCCCGAAAGGTATGTTGAAGCCCTAATCTCCAGTACCTGTGAATGCGGCCTTATTTGAAAACAGGGTCTTTGTAGATGCAATCCAGTAAATATGGACTATAGTGAACTGGAGTGGGCCTTGATGAAACAGTTGGTGTCCTTACATAAAGAGGGAAATCTGGGTGCAGAGACACACGCACAGGGAGAATGCCCCATGACAACGGAGGCAGATAAAGCTGCAAGCCAAGGGCCACCAAGGATTGGTGGTGGCCACCAGGGCCCATAAGAGGAGCACAGAACAAGTTGTTCCCAGAGCCTCCGGAAGGAGCCCTGATCCTGTACTCCCAGCCCTCAGAACTGTGAAAGAATAACTTCCATTATTTTAAACCACCCATTTGTGATATTTTGTTATGGCAACCCTAGAAAACAAATGCAATGACAAAAATATAAACAAATACATTTGAAAATTATTTGCAAAACTATCGTCACTAATTTAATATTTGACATATATGATAGTACTCCGACTATCGTGTGGTTCCATCTCACAGGTAAAACATTTTTTTCGGTTCTAACCCTTAATGCCCTTTTGTAAAAGCATGTTATCAAAATAGTATTACTAATTTTATTACTATTTTAGGATAATCTAATTCTTAACTCCAATTTTATTCTTACTAGGTATTTAAAGGCAATTTAAATGGTGCTATTTGATATTGTACAAAAATTTTTATTTAATTGAAGTTCAATTTTGCTTTGGAGCATTATTGATTTCTACAGTAAGTAATTATCTACACAAATAATTTCTGAAACTAGATTCAGAAAGGTAGTTCATTTGGTATATTTCAATATATCTATTGATACCAAACCATTGAAATTTGGAATATACAACAATGGAGCATGTTTTGAAAATGCATGTGTGGTAATTGGTACTAAAAGTTATGATACAAATTCTTTAGATGACTGCATGGCTATCCCATTTTTATATAACGTTGAATTCTTCCATGAATTTTACCAGCCAAATGACCTCAAAAACTGTTATTTCCACAGCATGCTTTAGCATCATGAGGTTTCATTGTAAATCCAAAAATAGTCCTAGGTACTGAAGTCAGGTCAGACAGCAGTACTGTGTTTTTAAGTAATTATCTTACTGATTCAGAAGATTATTATATTGTTTGAACTTTTCATCAAGACACAGAAACTTTTAAGATTTTCTGGGAGAACTCGTGGCCCTTTGAGAACATTCTTTTCCATGGATATCAGTTTGAAAATTGTTAACCGTTACTAGACAAAGAAGGCAAGGTGGCCAAGTTTAGTTTTAAATAAATGTATCTGACAGTGGAATGAAGGAGAAACCAGAGAGGGGTGGACCACAGGCTTACAGAGCAATGAGGACTTTGGTACTAAGAAAGAAAAATGCAAAAGAGGCCAGGAAAGCCTGTGCTAGGGACCAGCGGGCAGAGAGGGAGAGGAGAAATGCATTTGAAAAGTAAATGCCTCTCAGGGCATAAGGATGAGTAGAGAAACATTTGCTTATTTACAGTTCCAGTGAGAGTCTTATTCAAGCCAGTCATGGCAATAAAACACCTGAAGGCTCAACCAAGTTTGGAATAAGAGAAAGAGCCCCAGACTTTAAATATGAAGACCTGGGTTTGAATTCTGGATACAGTTTTTATGGTAACTCATTTAATCTTTCTGGATTTCAGTGTGTTTTTTTTTTTTCATATACGTGATGGGGATAGTAGTCCTTGTCCAAACTACCTATCTATATGGAGCTACTGTATCACATCAGATAATTTCTTTTTTTTTTTTTTTTTTTTTTTTTTTTTGTACAGATAGAGTGGGAGGGAGAGAGAGGAAGGGAGAGAGAGAGAGAAACATCGACATGAAGGGACACATCGAGTGGCTGCCACCCACACGACCAACCAGGGCCGGGGACAAACTGCAACCAAAGTACGTGCCCTTAGCGGGAACCGAACCCGGGTCTCTCCGGACTGCAGGCCGACGCTCTAACCGCTGAGCCAAACTGGCCAGGGCTCACATCAGATAATTTCTATAAAGTTGAACACTAACTGGACATTGATAATATTAAGTAAGTATTTCAGTTATCTATTTCTTGTAACAAACTAATCCAAAACATAATGGCTTAAAACCATTGTCATTTTATGATTCATGACTCTAAGGACCAAATGCAAATGTTAAGTATGGTTCGGCTGGGCCATTCTTCTGCTCCGCACAGTGTCCAT